AACTTGTGGCCCTTCCGTTGATGTAGGAGGGCTCCTGGTGGAGTTACTGATCCTTTGAGAACAGTAGGCTTTCAGATACTTGCTGAATTTACTGCTTTTGTCTCTAACGAAGTTAATGCCTGCTTTGGGTCCCTGAATTACTGAGCTGCTTTCAATCTTGCCTGTGGCTAAACTATTGACTATAAAAGGTGTAGCCTGTTTTTCAATAAACCAGCAGCTACCGAGTTCGCCCTCAGATCAAGTCAGTCTCCTCCTTCCCCTCACGGACTCCATGCCCCCTCTTAGGGACCTGAACTCTCTGGACTCCCCCTGCAGGACAGTACCCAAGCTTGAGGGAGGCACACACCTGTGACCTTGCTGGTCAAAGGGGTCAACACAGGGCAGGTGTTTATTTCTAGTGCTCTGCAAAATGCCAGCTTAGGAACAAGCTTTGTGTTTGTGGGTGACCTGCAGCCAGAGAACAACGTGTGGGTCACTTGGAGGCGAAGCTTCCTGAGCTGTTTTAAGTCATACCTTTCATTTGCCACCCCTAGTGGCGTACTCCATACATTCAATTTTCTTTCCCTATAAAAAATATATATGGCCAGGCGTTGGTGGCGCTCGCCTTTAATCCCAGCACTCAAGAGGCAGAGGCAGGTGGATCTCTGTGAGTTCGAGGCCAGCCTGGTCTACAGAACCAGTTCCAGCATAGTCTCCAAAACAATACAGAGAAACCCTGTCTTGAAAAAACAAAAAAACACATGTAAGCCAGGTGGTGGTGGCGCATGCCTTTAGTCCCAGCACTCGGGAGGCAGAGGCAGGCGAATCTCTGTGAGTTTGAGGCCAGTCTAATTTTCAAAGAGAGTTCCAGGACAGCCTCCAAAGCCACAGAGAAACCCTGTCTTGGAAAGCAAAAACCAAACCAAACGAAACCAAACCCACATGTAGATGGTTTAAATCTCCAGTAAGAGGGCCTGAGGAGTGTGCACAGGTGCAGCCCCGCCATGGCTAGTCCCATGGCTTTGGTACAGCTGCACAGCTTTTAGGAGTTGCTTTCAGTTTATCGCCAGCCTGGCCTAGATGGTCCCTCTTTGTGCTCTCTCCAGTTCCAACTCATCAAGCTTGTCACAGGCCAGGCTGAGTGGAGACATCTGGGTGTTAACGGTCCCTGAGGAGGTCACTGTGCTGTGCTGCATGTTCATGGGCCCTGCAGGGGGTCAGCAGCACGGGCAGGAAACTGAGATCACAGGTGAGAGTTGAGGAGCCAGGTGGAGCTGGACAGCGTACATACATCGGGACGTTTTGTCGCACCTGCTGTGCGGCCTGCATCCGAGAATGTAGCGAGGTGGTCGGGATAGATGACACAGAGACCGGTCGGTTGCTTTAAGAAAACTTTATATTTCCCAAGTCAGCTTAGGAGTTGACCCCAGTCCGCTTAGGAGAGCTCTCAGCGAAATCTCAGGAGAAGTCTCCCCAAGAAAAAGGGCTTCCCTTTTTAAGGACTTTTGCCATCCATTTACATACCATTCTTTCCACTTCTCACCCTCCTGGCTGGTGGTTTAATCTCCGGCCCCAGAATCGGGGAGACACCACAGGGGGCAGGAAGAGGCATCTAGCCATAGGAGGTGTGGAAGGCATGGTATTTCAGTGAGCCAGCCCTTATCTGAGCCCTATCAAGCTTTAAAGCACTGAATTGTTTTCAGTAAACATTACATAGATGCCTGCTCCCAGGCCGAAGGGGAAGTGGGTTTCTGCTCAAGGTCTGGTGTCCCCACAACGTTTCATACGCGCATGCTTGAGCGTGTACACATGCACGGGTACAGACAGACACAGACACAGGGCTCAGAATCAGAGCTTCCAGGGTCCCCCTGAAGCCTCTTGAAACATGTATTTTTATTTGTTTATTTATTTTGGAGACAACGTCTCTCTTGGTAGCCCTGGCTGTCCTGGAACTCCCTATGCAGACCAGGCTGGCCTCCAGAAATCCACCTGCCCCTGCCTCTCAAGTGCTAGGGTTAAAAGCATGTGTCACCACGTCCCTCTTGCATGCAATCTTTAAAATGCCCGCAGTTTGCAAGCTGTGCTCACATCAGTATACACACAACTGTTCCAAGCTGACCGGATGAGCCAGGAGCTGTGTGTGGAGCTAAAACACGCTGTCCTACAGGGGATGCCAATAATCACAGCTTCTGGTTTGGAAGAGTGGAGGCCTTTGAACTCACCCCACTCTTAATACTATTCTGGATTTTTTTGTTCAAGACAGGGTTTCTCTGTATTGTTTTGGAGGCTGTCTGGAACTTGCTTTATAGACCAGACTCGAACTCACAGAGATCCACCTGCCTCTGCCTCCCGAGTGCTGGGATTAAAGGTGTGGTGCCACCAATGCCCGGCTTATTATTTTTTTTTAAGATTTATTCATTTATTCTGCATACAGTGTTCTGCCTGCATGTATCCCTGTAGGCCAGAAGAGGGCATCAGATCTCATTACAGAAGGTTGGGAGCCATCGTGTGGTTGCTGGGAATTGAACTCAGGACCTCTGGAAGAGCAGCCAGTGCTCTTAACCGCTGAGCCGTCCCTCCAGCCCGTAATTCCAAATTTAAAACAAAACAAAAACCATCTGGATGTGGCGGCAGGACACATTTAATGCCAGGATTTAGGACACTGAGATAGGGCTGACTCGTCCCAGTTGGGATGGTGTGTTTTGGACACTAGTGAGTGTTGCTCCCAGGAACTGTCTTTGTTTCTTTGTCCTTAGCCTTTACAGACTGTAAGACTGCTGTGCCCATGCCTCAGGGAAGGGCGGTGGCTACTGGAAACCAACAAGAAATAAGCCACGTCTTCGCTGGGGTGTGTGGTGGGAGACACAGGCCCCACTAGAGCCAGGAAGATTTCAGGCAGGGCAAAGGCTGGAACAAGTCATGGGACTCCCTGCCACTCTCCCTGAAACTCTCTGGATGCAGAATGGAACAGAACCGAGATTGCAGTGGGTCTCAGAGATCACCTCCAGATCACAGAGCACCCCGTGTGGATTAGGAAAACACATTCTCTCCGAGGCCATAGCAGAGACCCAAGCCTTAGAAGCTGCCATGAACAGGCACTGTGTGGAGCGTACTCCTGCATCAGCCTGGCTGAGGCCTGCAGGAGACAGTAAAACCCAGATGAGTCTGTGGGGACCAAGTCCAGAGTATAGGCTTATGCCTCAACTCTAGGAGGGGCCTTCCGGAGCAGCTGGGGGTACAGCTGGGGGTACAGTGGCCCCAAGGACAATACCAGGCCTTGGCTTCAGTCACACTGCCATACCAAGACTCAGCATGTGGGATCTGCCGAAGCTTGCCTGGGGCTGAAGAGAAACCCCAAATAAACTGAAGCATCTGCCCCTGGCGCCGCGGGGACTCGGCCGGGCTAGCGAGAGAGTGACAAAAGAAGCAACCAGCCTGTGTGTGCACGCTGGAGCTCTTAACGCACTTCTATTTTTGCCTCCAGGTTTGACTGATTCACCCAGCAAGGTGAATGCGGGGCAAATGTCAAATACCTGGCATTCCTCTGCAGCCTGCATCTCTTCCTGCCGCTCAGGAGCCAGAAGTGTCCCTGACAGGAATGCTGATGGGTGGCTGGCAGCAGGGGAAGAGCCAGCTCCTAGGAAGATCACATGTCGGCAAGAGCCCATTGTCTGAAAGTCAGTGGAATTTCTATAAGGCAAGGGCATAACCCCACATAGGAATGAAGACATTGTTATCATCATTGTTAATCACCATTAATACTGCGTGTGCAGGCTTGGTGAGTGTGTGTGTGTGCACACACACAGATGTGTGCACACTCGTACCCATGGTGGAAGTCAAAGGACCGCATCATTTATACTGTGTGTGCAGGCTTGATGAGTGTGTGTGTGTATGCGTGTGCATGCGTGTGCATGTGCACACACACAGATGTGTGCACACTCGCACCCATGGTGGAAGTCAGAGCACCGCTTCATTGACTTGAATGTTCTTCCATCTTATTGTGGGTCACCTTACGTCACCAGGCTTGCAAAGACGCCCCTCCCTTTGAAACAATGCAGTCCCCCAACTTGGGATCTCACGTCAAGAAAGGAAAAGCTGAAGTTTGGTGCAGCCGAGGAGGTGCTCACCTCCCAGGAAGAAATTCCTCACTGTTTGGACAACTGTCAGACGCCCCTTGCAGAACGGAGGAGACGATAATGGACCACCACACTCGGCCAGGACTGGTCAGCCTCGCATACTTCTGCTCTGTATCTTAACTTTACCTCCTGTTAGGACCCTGAAGATGGACTTGAGGGGTCATTGGGCCTCTCTGTTCCTGGTGTGGCCACACTGAATACATCTCCTTTCTCTGCCTTCCCATGTCACTATCTGTCTAATTGGCCTACTGAGGACGGTGGCTGAGCCTGTCTGATTTCAGCTCTGACGGTTCAGCCGCAGGAACAGGCCTGCTCTGCGTCCTTGGTGAGGCTCACACTCCCCATCATGCAGTCTGCACCAGAGACGTGGGTTTCTTCTCCCCTCCTGTGTTTGGATGACATCTCCCAGTTGTCTGTCCTCTCTGTGGCCAGAAGGTCAGCAGCTGCTGCTGTTGGCCACTGACTCTGTCCTAGGGTCAGAGTCCCTGCTGTCTTCTAGGCCACTGTTTGGATCTCAGCTCTGCCACTTCCTGGCTGGGTGACCTTCTCACATTACCTCAGCTGTTGGCTCCACAGTGACATCGTCTCCCTGTCTCCTGCCCTGGGCACCTGGCACCGATCCCCCTTATTGCCAAGGTCAGCTGGCTCTGCTTGCATTCCCAAAATCATGACACTGATCGGAGCCCAGGCGGGGGCCCTCCCCTCCCTGTCCCTGATCCCAGCCCCCTGTGTGCCTGCCATTGAGATGTGGCTGCAGAAAGGAGACGCCCAGCATCTCCTCTGTCTGCTTGCAATCCCAGAACATGCCTTCCCATTTCTTCCTGGGATGCTTGTGGGTGTCTCCCTTGCTGGAAGGGATGAAAAGCACCAGATGGGGACGATAAATGAGGGGTTTCAGGGTACTTTATTGAAACAAGGTGGGTCAGTGGGAACTTGAGCAGCAGATGTCCAGATGCCCACGGCCTCCTTTCCACTCTCTATGCCCGCTGAGCAACACTCTACCTCAAAGGTCAGGGTCGGTGACTTGGATTTGGGATTAAATGTGACAGTGGGAAGAGGGATTTTTCCAGAAACCAGGAAGAAGTGGGTCGTGGTTGGGTCTTAGGTGACAGGAGAACCGAGCATGACCCAAAAGACCTGAGGAAGCAGAGGTCTCTTTGCACGTCTGGGTCCCTGTCCCTGGAGCCCTGTCCCCAGGAGTGTGGGTTAGATGGCTGCGTTCCCCTCTTCTGTTCTCTGCTAACTTAGGGCACTGCACTCTCTACTTGCTACGTGACACTGGGCCCCAGCTTTGTGTGCCGGGCAGTGGGGGCGGGGGCTTAGCCCTGGAAGCCCAGCTCCTTGTACTTGGCGGCAATGTCGTTCCGGAACAGCTCCAGGGCCTTGCTCATGGCGCCTTGAGCATCTGCTCCAAAGTCCCCAGAGTGTCTGCTCTTCAGGACCTCAATGATGCTTTCTGAGATAAACTGAAGGAAGGGGACAAGAGGTTGTAAATCATTGGACTAAGCAAGCCATGAGCCGAGGGGTCCTCCCACCGCCCTCCCCTTTATTCCAGGACCGTTTCCCGGGCCCTTACAATGCCCGGGGGGCCTTCAGTGAGGTTATTGTGAACCAACTCCCTTATATGCCACTACCACCAGGAGGCAGGCACTACCAGCATCCCTGCTTTGTGGATGGGGAAACTGAGGCAGAGAGAGGCGTGTGGAAGACTTCAGCTGTGTGCTGGAGTCACACAGCCAAGAAGGGGCACTTGAACCCAGGGGGTGTTTCTTGACCCCGCCCCACCTCTTGAGTGCAGGACGAATGACCAACAGCCAGCCCACAAGAGCTCAGAGGTAGCAGACAAGACGCCTTGTCAGGATGCTAGCCCACCCTGGATCTGTGATCAACCAGGACACCCATGAGGAGGCTTCCCCATCATGTGCATTTCATCTCTGAATTTGGGACTCAGGATGACTATTCACTTATGGCCACACCAAACAGGTGGTCACAGCAGGTACTCACAAGGGAAGGGACAGGTGATATCAGACACCCCCATTGCCCACATGGGGATGGGCATCTGTGTGGGACCGCCCAGAATCCAAAGGTTTAGATGAAACCGTCACAGTGCTTATCATCAGTGATTTGGACTTTGGTCCCTTACAGCCTTGGCTGTTGTACTAAGTGGCGGCATTTTTTACTGAGGAGCCTACCAGGCGGCCTGGGTGAGGTCATGTAGCCGGTGACTAAGGAGCTAAGGTTGGTCCCAGGGACTGTGGACATGCCCCGTTAGCTCAGGAGTGCAGGTGCTGCTCTGATCTTTCCCACTGGGCCCTCACGTGCAAGTGACCCACCAGGAAGCACCGAGGGACACGGGTGACACACCCGTGTCCCTCACAACCCACAGATACAGCAAAGGTGGTGGGGCCTCCGTCTGTGGAACCTAGCCCAGCCTTGGGGAGTGACCTTGCCCTGCCCTGTGACTCCAGCTGCAACCTGGGAATTGAGAGGACCCCCTTGGGGGGCTCCTGGCCTGGTTTCTGGCCAGGCTACAGTACAGCTGGTGTCTGGACCATCATGGAGTGGGACAGTCATGCATTGGAAAACAGAGGGTGCCCTTGACTTCCACCGCTAGAGAACCCCGAGTGGGAACCCTGCCTCTGTGACTTGCACGAGCAGTCTGTGTCTCCATTTTCCCATCTGTCCAGTGGGTACAAAAAGGGCTCCTGCTGATGGGGAGAGGGCAAGCTGTGTGTCAGTCATTTTCACACTGGGGTGCATTGGGAGGCAGACACTGTGTGGGTCCTCAGGACCCTTGAGGGGAGCAGATCTGGGGCTGACTGCAGAGGGGAAATGGGGCTTCAGTGGGGGAGGAACCAGGCCACTCACAGAGTGACTGAGCTGGGATTTAGCGGCGGCCACCTACCTCCAGGTACTTGACCGGGATCTTGTGCTTGGTGGCATGTGACTGGGCCAGAGGCTGGATCTCGGCGGCATGCTGTCCCTTCTTCTTCAGGATGACCCCCAGGGCTGTGAGCACGGTGCTGCCATGCTTCTTTAGGTCCTCTGAGGCTTTCATCTCATCTTCTGACTTCAGGCTCTTGAACTTGTCAAACTTCTCCAGGGTCTCGGGGTGGTTCTTAAACAGCCTAGGGGACAAGGACGGACGGAGTGAGACGAGCAGTCTGAAGGCCACCAGACCCCAGTTATGTTTGTTCCCAGCTGTGTGACCCGGGCCAATTCACCACACGTCTCTATGCTTCAGTATTCCCTGTGAATGCCGACAAGCGGATCTAATGAGGTAACCCGTCCGACGTCTGGCACGGTCTGTGGGATAAATGCCTGCTGTTCTTTTGTTACCATTGATGCCATCGCCCTCGTGGTCACCGGGAGGGGCAAGGACAGTGACATCTCTGTGTCCTCACCCCATGTTATCCCGAGAGGGGGGTGTGCTGGGCTCACACCTGCCTTCCGTGTTATCCACACTCTTCCTGTTTTATAGGCAGGGTCAGGACTCTGAAGCGGAATGTCCCCAGCAGGATCTCAGGGCCAGTGTGCAGAGAAGCCAGGCAGCCATTGGATCTAGACGACTCAGGAGGCCACCTGAAGGCCTCTACCTGAAATTCTAGACCTCCTGGCCAGCTGTGACTGCCGAGAGACCCAGCTACATACCAGCATAGGCTTCACCCGGTTTCCAACAGTGATGGCAAAGGGACCCACCAAAGGCCACATTTGTTCCTGCCCGCCACCCTGGGAGCTCTGGCTTCACACAGTCAGGGACCCAAGCCCTGCTCCAGGAAGACGGTGAGGGCTGCAAGGGTCACCACTCTCCTCAGATGAGGTCAGTCCCTGACCCACTTGGAGGTAAATAAAACACCATTGAGGGCAGAGCCTGGACAGTATTAGAATTCACATCTGGTCCCCTCTAGAGCCCCACCCTGATGTGTTTATCAGGGCGACCCTGGCTACGCAGGCTCTGCGTCATCCTCTGTGACACATACATTCCTCTTTGTGCACCAAGCCGTGTGGGAAGCACCTGGTCCCCATGGCCCCTGGCCCACAGTCCCATGAGGAGGACCTCCTATGACCAGGACACCAAGCTGCTTCATCCAACCCAAGAGCTAGGTCTGGCTGCTGGAGTCACCTTCTCCACGATCCCCAGAGTTTGTGACCTGCTGATACCCCAGACTCTTCTCCTGAGGTGTCTATCCCCCTGTGGGGACAATGGAGCCTGTGTTCCTTCCCCGTTCCAGTCTCCCTTCCAGGCCTGCCGGTCTGGTTAGGACCCCACGGTAAGGGACCGGTGGCTCCTGAGAGTTTTGAGTGAGAACATGAGTGCCGCCTACTGAGTTTGTACACAAAGGACGTGTGTGTTTAAAGCGCTTTGTAGGTTTTTTACCTGCACGTTTCTCGAACCCCCACAGGACGCCTGAAGCAGATTCTGCCATTGTGTCAGGTCACAGAGGAGGAAATGGGGGGTCTAGGGCAAAGCCAGCAAAGGGAGTGTGGGGGCCCTGCCTCTCAGTGCATGACCGGACAGCAGGACAATGAGGGCACGGCATTCCACAGTGGGGATAGTCCCATATCACTAGTGGATGGCCGCCAGAGGTCGGCCAGTCCAGGCCCCCTTCCACACCCACAGACATTCACTCATCGCAGACAGGTCTTCCGGCCACGCAAGTGCCTCACTATGCGTCAGTTGACTACAGGGTCCCCTGATGTGCCCATTCCAGCTGCATGGACTCACATGGACTCAGGAACCCACATGAATTGCTTGTTTGTTTGTTTTTTTTTTACATGAATTACTTCATGCCATCACTGTAGCACACTTCTGAGAGAGCTTGGTGTTAGCAGACTCCATGTGACAGTTGTAGAGACAGGCACAGGAAGCCTGAGTGTCCTGCAGGGGTTTAACTAGACCCCGTGGCTTCTCCTTCACTCTCTGTGAGCCCTATAAAGAGCCCTGCCCAGTCACATTTACAAAGGCATCCCCATTGTAAATGATAACACAAACCTAGCCCCTCTACACACACAGGTGCTCAGAAGCAGGGGGTGCGCATGTACACACACACACACACACACACACACACACACACACACGTGTCTGTTCTTCATGTGTGTGAAGGACTAGGCACACAAGCTGGTGCCATGAAAACGGGGTGGACGGATCTGTCCCCAGCCTTGGACAGCCTTGGATGTGTCACGGCACCCCTCTGGGAGCCCGTCCAGAATAGTGTGCGTCACTGACAGCTTGTCTCTGGCACCTTGTGCGGGGTCCCTGAGCTCCTCACTATTATTATCTAGCGACAATGATCCTTGAGTTCCTGCTGACAGATGCAAGACCTGACACCCACAGGTGAGCCCAAGGTCACCAGGCTGGATGGGGCCACAAGGGGGTTAGAGCACTCGAGGCTTGGGCTTTTGGAGACACGACGTTCCACGTCTGGTTGTCTCCAGTGTCCTGTGTGATCCTGAAACAACCACTCAGCCTTCTGGGTCTTAGCTCATTGAATGCAAACCAAAATGGTTGCTTAGGTGATTTCTAGAAGGCTTGCCCCAATCTTGCCCTCTCCCAGAATTAGGCAGAGGAGAACAAGGCTTGCTCTCATCACAGGAGCAGAGGTACAGGCCCTATATAGACACTTGGTTCCCTGAACCCCAAGTCTCACAGATGGAGTCCCTGTAGTGGCTTGGAGCCCATGCTCTTGGATTTCCCTGAGCACACCTGACTTGGTTCCTGTGGGAGAGACCAAGGATGTTTTCTCAGGGTCCCTTTCTTCATCCTGTCGCCAGGTGACCAGGCTCCGCAGACAGGCAGTCAGTCAGGCGGTCAGGGAAGTGAGGCTGCCTCTCTGCTGGCCTCTAAACAGCTGCCCAAACAATCAGAGCCCAGTCTAGGAGTTCATGGGGGTGGTAGACAGAAAAACTACCAAGAGCTTAGGCTACAGCCAAGTACCCTGTAGTCTACAGCCAAGTACCCTGTAGTCTTACTAGCTATGCAATTTGGGACAAGTTGCTAAACCTCTCAATTAGATGTAATACATGAGTTCATAAAGGTGTTCGTAACACAGGGGTTTTCTGTGTGAGACTTCCTCCTCCTCACCCCCCCTCACCACCACTATCCTGACCAGGAGTCTTTCTTAGGGGTGGCTTATCACTGACACCGGTTGGTTGGGACAGTGAGTCACTTCTCTCATTATGTGAGAAGTTGTTATCTCCAGCAGCTGTTTCCAGCCCTTTCTTGGGTCCTAAATCCTTTCCCCAACAAAAATGTCATATGGGGGGTTTGGGAGATGGCCCAGCAGTTAAGAGCACTTGCTCCTTTCCCAGAGGAACCGGGTTCAATTCCCAGCACCCACGTGGTGGCTCACAACCTTCTGCAACTCCAGTTCCAGGGGATCCAACACCCTCTTCTGGCTTTCTTGGGCACGGCATGTATAGCATACACATCTATATATGCAAGCAAAATACAAAGAAAATAAGTAAATATCTTAAAAATGCAGGTTTAAATGAACCTGAAAATATTTGGGAAGAAGAGGTGAGGCTCAGAGGGAACCTTCCACCTGGAGCCATCTGTCAGCTCTGCTAGCTACTGGAGCTCCTTGTTCTAGAACTCTGTGATTACCAGCCTAGGCCTGGAGTTCTGCTAAGGTAACTTGGAGAAATGACCTTGCTGAGGTCAGCAGACAAGGCTGGGGTTGGTGTCTGGGACAGGCCAGGAACCCAGTGTCCGTGGTACACTTGCTACCCTGAGAGTTGACATGACTCCTTGGGAGGCCACCTCCCTGCACCCCAACAGGAACAGCTGGTGTGGCCCCAAGGCCCAAGTTTGAGGCATGGTGGGATGTTATGCCCTTGGGGCCTCTCAGGGCCAGCTGCTTGGGCATCGTGTCCCACCTGGCCAGGGTCCGGGCAAGTCTCAATTGCTCCCCTGGGAAGGGAGGAATGTCTCTCTGATGACACAATACTTTGAATCTCCTTCAACGCCCCAAGTCCTGGCAGCCTTGGAATCTTGCAAGACACTGTTTTGCCAACCCTGCCCCCCCCCCAATAGCCTGCTGTCCACAGCAACAGAGGGCAGAGAGTGGGAGGGGTCTCAGAGACTGTGGTACATAGTACCTATTTAGTTAACAGCATAGAGAGGAGAAACAACTTGTCCAAGGTCACACAGGAAATATGTAGCCTAAGAACGGATACCAACTTGGGGTAGGGGTGAAGTCAGTGAGACAGGCCTGCAGGCCCAGCATCTGAGGAAGAGTTAGGGAAGAAAGATAGGCAGCTGTTCCAGCATGGCCACCTAAAAAGTGTTCTGACCTCAGTCGACCTTGTTCCCAAGCAGAGGGGCTGGAAATGGACAAAGTTGAGGGGAGTATGCAAGACCATGGCAATCAGGAGGGAGACTTACCCTGGAGCATAAGTAGCAAGGACATTCATTTCCAAACTGCAGTTTCAAAGACATTGCAGGGGCTGATAGCAACAAGGCCACCTCCTCCCAGAGCCAAAAAAACGATCACTCATGGATATCCCACCAGGCTCCTGAGCCAGCCAACCCCAGAGCCCAGGGAAGAGCCCCAGCATTTGAGTGAGCCATGGGAAGTGACCCTGTTACAAGCCTCAGCACCCTCCACTTGCCCCGGCTCAGAAATGTGAATTTTCTGGGCAGATTTAGGAGATCCTTGCAGCAGTGGGCAACCACACACTCCAAGATTTCAGTTCACATTAGTGGACCCGATCTCTCACAGCCCTAGCTATTCTGGCTGTCCGCCATGATAAGCTCCTTCTGGTGGACTGCTTCATGCTCAAGTTTGTTCCAGTTGCTGACACCAGCTGGAATGGATGGATCCCCTTTTCCTTTCCTCAGTCCAGTCCCCAGCCCTTAGAAGCAAATGAAATCCCATATCATCATTGCAGCCAACTGGTCTACCCTGTCAACTTCCACCTTGCAGCCATACACTGGTAATCTTTAGGGGATGGGTGGAGGGATGGGGGTCTCTTCCTCTTACCTGATGAGGACTTCCTGTCCATGGCCAGCAAGGTCAGTCTCCACCTTCCCCCAAACATTCAGCACCTGCTGCCACTCCCCATCACTGAGCCCCATGGCAGCTTCTGAAGAGGACAAAGGAGTCGAAAGGACTGAGTTTGGGCCGGGCTGTCAGCTGTGGTTTGAGACCACCTGGTCCTGAAGGGCTTTTATACCTTCCCGGGTGTTAGTCTGGCCAGGATCACTGGGTGCCACCCTCCTCAACCCCCCCAGGGGTCTAATCTCTCCCTTTCTCCGGCCCTCACATGGGCAGCTATTTTGGGGCAAGTGCCATTGTGGGGAGCTAGGACAGCTTGGGGCAGTAGGGGGTGGGGAGCGGGAACCAGCCAGGCCACTGTCTGGACTTGCACAAGCCCACAGAAAGGGCACCGAAGCCACTGCCAGCAGCTGAAACCCAATTCTCCCCCTGTCTGCTGCCCCAAGGGGACTTGTCATGTTTCTAAGCTTGGTACAGGCATCCAGCTGGCCCCCAGAAGTCTTCTCTCACTTTCTGACTGCTTTTCTTTTTTATGATATTTGTGTGTGTGTGTGTGTGTGCACGCGTGCGCGTGCGTGTGGGCCACAGCATGTTTGCAGAGGACATCTTTTGACTATAGATTCTTGGCCTTGGTGGCAAGCTCTGGAACTCCCTGAGCCATCATGCTGCCCTCCACTGACTTTCCTGATGCTCCAAGCCAAGCCAGAAGTGGTCAAACGGAGCCACAATGGGTCTGCACTTGCTGCTGGGCCACAGGCAAGCCTCTGAGTTAATGGCCTGCTCCCTGCTCCCTGTGAAAGGTTGTGCTGCCATGCTCCATGAATCCCTCAGTCCCCTCCCCTTGGCTTGTGACCTCCTATCTGCCCTTGCTGCCTCACATGGCACTTCCAGCAAGGTAGTAGCTGCCAGCACTCCCAGAGTCTGCCAGGCCTAGGCCCTCTTCTCTTTGCCTAGCTCTGGTAATCCCACAGGAGCCCTCAGGGTAAACCTTGACACGGGCCCCAGGATGAATAACAGCTGGGGTTTTATCCACAGGCCATGCTCTGGAAAACCTTATTTGGGAGCTGCCGAGATGATGGTCCAGTGACTAAGGGCACTTGCCTCCAAGTCTGATGGCCTGAGTTCCATCCTCAAGACCCACATGGTGGGAGAAGAGAACAGACTCTTGAAAGTTGCCCTCTGAATTCCGTGTGTGTGCATGTGTGTGCGCATACACAGTCAACATATAAAAAGTAAATTTCACAATATTATTTGGGATTTTGTGGGGGGTGTCAGAGGGTCTGCTTTATTTATCTGTGTATCTTTTGAGCCCCACACTGGGCCTGTATCAAATTAGAGCTGAAGAAATACTGTTGAATAAGAGATAGATGGCTTTATAAGGAAGACAGAGGTGAGCAGTTTCCATCTGGCTGTCCAGTCACCCATCCTTCAACCTGTCCATTAGCCAGAGCAAGCAGCCAGTTATTATCCATCCATCCATTAGTTTTTCTATTTATCCCCACACATCATTCAGCAGACAATTATCACTCATTTATCAATCCATTTGTCATTCATCTATCCATCATCCATTCATTATCCATCCATCTACCTATAACTTATCCATTACTTATCATTCATCTACTACCCAGCCTTCATTCATGCGCCACCCATCAATTATCCATTCTATCTGTCTGTCTGTCTGTCTGTCTGTCTGTCTATCTACCTACCTACCCATCTACCCATCTATCCATCCATCTATGTATGTATATATGTATCATCTATCTCCCCATCTATCCATCTATGTATGCATGTATGTATGTATGTATGTATGTATGTATCTATCTATCATCTATCTATCTATCTATCATCTATCTATCTGTCCATCATCCATCATCCCTTCATGCCCCCTCCCTTCATCTACCCATCCATCACTTACCTACCATCTAGTCAACAGTCACAGAGTACACATGATGTGACAGCCACTGTCACAAGCTGACTAAAACAAAATTAAGCACATCCTGTGGCCAAGAAATTCACAGCACTCCGGAGGAGGGTGCTCAGTGATACCGTGGAGTTCCCATGGGCAGTTTTGTTTGTTTAGGGCTGTGGGAATTTGAATGTAATTGGGCCCCATAAGCTCCCCATAAGGGTGTGGCACTATTAGGAGGCGTGGCCTTGTTGAAGGAAGTGCGTCACTGTGGGGCGGGCTTTGAGGTCTCTTGCTGAAGCTTCACTCCTTGTCACAGTCTGTTTCCTGTTGCCTTCTGATCAAGATGCATCCAGTACCATGTCTGCCTGAATGGCATCACGCTCCCAGCCGCCACGCTCCCTGCCACGATGATGATAATAGACTAAACCTCGGAAACTGTAAGCCGCCCCCTCAATGAGATGTTTTCCTTTATAAGAGTTGCCGTGGTAACGCTGCCTCATCACAGCAATAGAAACCCCAATGAAGACAAAGGTGTTCCAGTTTTTGTCTTGTTTTGTTTGAAGAGGATCTCACTATGTAGCCCTGACTGGCTTGGAACTTGTTACGTAGCCCAGGATGGCCTCAGACTCACAGCAATTTGCCTGCATCTGTCTCCCAAATGCTTGAACTAAAGGCATGTGACATCACAGCCAGTGGCTTTTCAGGGTTTAAGGTATCTCCCTGGCAATTGCCATTCACTAACCAAGTGAGGAAGGGGGCACTGTCCCATTTCTAGCCTCGCTTGGAAAGAACAGGCCACATGGGTCTGACTATGCTGGTCCTACTCTGGGTGTGTGAACAGTGACTGCCCAACGTTCATGGCGCTTCAGAACAGTGGTTCTCAGCCTGTGAGCTGCAACCCCCAGCATTTGGAAAAGTGAGAACCGCTGCTTTAGAGAACATATTCTAGTGGTGAGGTGGCAGAGGGGAGCCACATTCTGGGACAACAGGATCCCTCAAACCAGCCACCAGTCACAGTTGATGGGCCCAGGCTGGCCACAGGCATGTGGTTACAAAAATGAAAGCTTCCAAGTCCTGAGATCAGTCCTTAACAAAACGATGCTTTTCTGTTTTTGTAGTCTGCTGACAGTATGATAGCATACCCAGAATACTTTTCCAGGTGTAAGTCAGTCTCCAAAAGGTCTGCATGTCACTGTCACATGAGCTGCGGTTGCCATCCCATTCTTTATTCTCTGAATGGTAACAATTACTACCTGACTCTTCACCGCTGGGACCAAGTTTCTATTAACTCAACTTCTACTTCCAAGGGAACTAGGAGTTCTAGATTCCTTTGTTGATATTTCGGTACTGAAAAAAAAGTGTCTAACCATTCATGCCCTGGCACCGGAGAGACATCTGACCTTTCAGGTCCTTTATTTTTTCCCTGCATGTCCCTATAAATTATAATGTCATCTTTTAAGAAACTGTCTCCTGCCTGGTGGTGGTGGCACACGCCTTTAATCACAGCACTTGGGAGGCAGAGGCAGGTGAATTTCTGAGTTTGAGGTCAGCCTGGTCTACAGAGTTCATTCCAGGACAGCCAGGGTGATAGAAAGAAAACCTGTCTCAAAAAAAAAAAAAAAAAAAAAAGAAAGAAAGAAAGAAAGAAAAAGAAAGGAAACCATGTCTCAAGTTCTTGGAATATAGTTATCTTCTTTTTGGAATGGTTAAGAAAGCAAGAGGCATTAGCCTTAGTGAGTTCTTACTCAGGGTGACTGCGAAGGCCACCAGGGTTGACCGAGCAGAGAGATAGACTGCAAAGAGGCTTAATTTCCTTGTAGAAACTTTAGAAAAATCACTAGCTTTTGTTCCCAGCAAACTCAGCCACAATCATAAACTGAGGAAGCAAAACTAAGAATTACCATAGGAAAAAGCATGGGGAAAGTTCCAGAGGCCGGGAGCTCAGTACCATTGTCTCCGCAGGTCCCAGTTCTCCAAAGGGCTTTGCCGGAAAGCGCTCCATTCACAAAACATTGATGCACTGTTCCCAGAGGTTACATTGTGGCTCCCACCAGTGTCCTTCCAGAATATCCACCACTTGGGAGGGAGGGAGGGAAAGGCGAGTTTCATTCCTGTTCATGCCTGGTACCTGCCTAGGCTGCTGGCCACCAGGGCCCAGGCTTACAAAGCAGGGAAGCTGTGGTCTCCAGAGTGAAAGTCCATGTGTCCTATACCTGTCCCTCTGTTCATTCATTTATCCCACAGCCAGGGACAGAGGGCCTACGAGGTGCTGGCTTTGGAGGGACCGACCGTCTGCACCTTCCACCCCTCACGTCTTGGGTCACTGAGGGGGTCAGGAGAGAAAGGCAGAGGTAAGGGCTGGGGAGCACGCTGGCTCACCTCCTTGACATATCTGCTGGGACCAGCAGCTCTAGCTCCTACCTTCCGCCGCAGGACACCGTGAGGAGCTAGCACTGTGCTGTGTGTCCCGCAGAACCACCCGGGAATTAGCCTACTAAAGCTTTTCCGTGGACTCTCTGAGAAGGACGGCTGTCTTGGTTAGGGTTTCCATTGCTGAAACAAAACAAACATGACCAAAAGCAAGTTGGGTGTTTTGGGACAGGTTTATTCGTGTTACACTTCAACGTCGCTGTTGGAGGAAGGCAGCAAAAGAACTCACACAGGGCAGGATCCCAGAAGCAGGAGCTGAAGCCGAGGCCATGGACCAACAGCCCAGGCACCAGTCACCATGGGCGTGGCCCTCCCCCGATGACCACTAAATGAGACAATGCCTCACAGCTGGATCTCATGGAGGCATTTCCTCATCTGAGGCTCCTTCCTCTCATGACTCAAGCTGACACACAAAAATCAGCCAGTACAATGGGCAACTGTCTGTACTTACACATTGCCACAACAGAGCCTGCCTCTCGGTTGCTGTGGAGACCCGGAGCCAGCCCCTGTTTGGTGCCTGCTAGTCTCCCTGTGACAGCTGTTCCCTGGGCAGGCTAGGAGGCTGCAGACCCGCCACAAGGAAGCCAGGCTACCTTGGTTGCAAGGCTCCCTCATTTCGATACGCTCTTGTCACACACGTTCACAAGTGAGTTTGCTAGGCACAGGTGGAACAAGCTAAATTCCCCAGTTAGCCCGACTCCACCAATCCCAGAGTGTTTTCCATCCTTGTATAAAAATTCCCCAGTTAGCCCGACTCCACCAATCCCAGAGTGTTTTCCATCCTTGTATAAAAATTCCCCAGTTAGCCCGACTCCACCAATCCCAGAGTGTTTTCCATCCTTGTATCCTCAAGTGTGAGGCTAGTCAAGATCCCTGAACAAAAGTCCTCAAAGCCTTTTGCTTTATCTCTCTAGAACACTGCTTTCTTCTTCTTCTTCTTCTTCTTCTTCTTCTTCTTCTTCTTCTTCTTCTTCTTCTTCTTCTTCTTCTTCTTCTCCTTCTCCTTCTCCTCCTTCTCCTTCCCCTTCCCCTTCCCCTTCCCCTTCCCCTTCCTCTTCCTCTTCCTCTTCCTCTTCTTCTTTTGAGACAGGGTTTCTCTGTGGCTTTGGAGGCTGTCCTGGAACTAGCTCTTGTAGACCAGGCTGACGTCGAACTCACAGAGATCCACCTGCCTCTGCCTCGCTAGTGCTGGGATTAAAGGTGTGCGCCACCAACGCCCAGCCTAGAACATTGGTTTCTAGATTTCAGGATCACAGGCAGGGCCATGGTGTCTAGATGCTAAAGAGAGCTTTTAGTGTGCCCCATCCAATTTCCCACTAAACTTCACCATCTGACAGCTGCCTAAATGCTTCTAGGGTCAGTGAACACTACCCAGAGCTGTACAAACACTTTATATTGACCCCAAAGACACCTGCACGTCACTCGCTATCTTGCTGGGACTCTGCTTGCTTCTGGGCGTAGAGGGCCTGCCGGGTCTCACACAAGTGGAGCAGGGGCTGGAGGCTAAAACCTCATCGAACTTTTTTCTTTTCCAGGTTACATTTTCCGAGGACTCTGCCCAAGGTCAGCCAGGAGCTCAGTCTGGGGAGGGAGACGGGCTTCCACGCTGAGTCTGCCAGTGCCCGCTGGGCAGCTTTGTACTGGGAAGCTGCAAGCCAGGCCCCAGACTTCTCTAGTGACTTGAGAATTCGATAGCCGTTGGGCAGCCAACAGGCCTCTCTGGCAAGGCTGAGAGATGAGTCCTTCAGACTCTCCTGGGACTGAGGACACAGTGGGGGAGGGGTGTGAGCACTCCAGCCCCCAAAGCCTGCATCCCTCCCTCTTTTCTCCTTGATCTGGGCTTATGTCTGACTTCTCCCACCCTCAGCTCAGACACATCCTTGGCTGAGTCCTCACTCTGGCTGTCACCTGATGTTGGCGAGACCTGGGAAACCCTGATGGGGTGGAGGACGTATAGGTTTTCTTCAGATCTTTCACAAACTTACCACCCACGGCTGAGGCTACCCTTCCCAGACACTGTCATACTGAACATGACAACCTTCTCCCCCGATATCCTCTGGAGCCTGAACCAGTGATCAGGGCAACAGAGGCGTCTCACAGCGACCAGGAGACGCACAGGGAGCTAAAGACAGTTTCCACACAGGCTTTTCCTTCCTCAACGGCCTTTGGGGGCTTGCTGGAGAGGCTGCAGGGCACAGGATCTTCCTGTAGCAGTCAACAAGTGTGGCCAGGACACTGGCCTCTTCCCTCTCCTCTTCCACCCCCAGACCTGTCACCTGCCCCTCCCACAGTCCCCCACCCAGACTCAGGGGCGCAAAGCACAGCTCTTGCTCCAGAAGAAAAAAGACCATCTATTCTGAGCCAAACAGGAATGAAAAATATGAGTTCACTTCATCTATGGAATGGTTATGAGAAGTGTTTGTTTCTTTGTTTGGTTACAGGATAGGGTCTCATGTAGCCCAGGCTGGCCTTGAACTCCTCATTCCCCTGCCTCTTCCTATCAAATGCGGGGATTACACAATCCACCACAGCACATGTCCTACATGAACTTTTCATAGTCAGACAACAAGCTAAAAGGATAAATCAAGGCACTTAGCGAACACATAAGTGAGGACGGCAGGCAAGGCACTCTATGGGAAACCCTAGATTCCAGATGCTAGCGGAAGCCATTCTTAGATTTGGGGCTGTTGGGAGCTAAAGGTTTCACTCGGTAGTAGCAGCAAGTTATGATCAGAGAGAGGGTGGGTGATAATGCTAACTGAGGATATGGGAGACAGCCCAAGATAGTGCTGGCTTTGGGTCTGCAACGCTCCAACTCTCCTTAACCACAGGGCTGTAACCAGTCTGTCAATCCCACCAGGATCTTCCACACAGACATGGCCTGGATAGAATCTTCACGCGCAGACACCACAAACACACCGTGCTTGCTGAACACCACGGCTGCCCCCTCCCTCCCCTCAGAGCCCTTCCTCTGGGGTCCACACTTCTAGAGTCCCCACCTTTTTTTTTTTTTTTTTTTTTTTTTTTTGGTTTTACGAGACAGGGTTTCTCTGTATTGTTTTAGAGGCTATCGGTCCAGCCCGGCCTCGAACTCACAGAGATCCGCCTGCCTCTGCCTCCCGAGTGCTGGGATTAAAGGCGTGCACCACCACCGCCCGGCTAGAGTCCCCACTCTTACACATGAAGAAACAGAGGCACAGAAAGGTTAGGAACTTTGTTCAAGAGCTAAGAGCCAGCACGTCAGAACCTAGGGCGTCTGCGTCCACATCTGTGCTTCGAGGCTGGGCAGTGGTCTGATTTAGTTCTCCCTCTTCGCCTTCTCATCTTCCTGGGGGCGCTAATAAGCAGCAGGCCTGGGGGGTTCTGAATGCTTACTTTAGTGTGGATTCCACCCAGGGTCCCAGGGACCTGAGGGAAATGTTCTGGGGGAACCTGCAGCCACCTAGCGGCAACTAGAAGAAATGCCACGGCTTTACATGCTTGAGAGTCTGTGTTCACCGCCCCGGGCGTGGAGGACCGGCTTTCCACGCTGTTAAAAGAGGAGTCACCCACACTCCTGGCTCTCAGGGTCTCAAAGCCAAATTCTTGGGAGGCAGATATTGTGGCAGAAACCGTGGGAGGGCCGGCAGGCTGCGCCTGGCTTGTGGGCGAAGCGACAGTTGGCTGAGATGTCTGAGGGTAGCAGGGAGCGAGCGCGGTGCATGCCTACTGAGGCAGGTGGGCCCTGGGTGGAAGGACCGGGTGGCCAGGGAGGGCTTGAGGCTGCAGAACCGGCACTGGGTGAGGCTCTGTGACTGGATAGGTCTCTGGGGGCCGAGGAGGGACACGGGGGCTCTGGGCTTCCTATCCTGGAGGCAAGGTCGCTTTAGAAGGTGTGTGAATGGCTGTGAGGCTTGGGAGCCACATGGCTGGCTGGCTTTGGGGCTATCTAAGCCATTTCCGCCACGAAGAGAAAGAGAGATCGACATCATTTCTTCCACCATCTGTAAAGTGAGAATTTCTTTCTTTTTTTTTTTTTTTCTTTCGGTTTTTCGAGACAGGGTTTCTCTGCATTGTTTTGGAGGCTGTCCTGGAACTAGCTCTGTAGACCAGGCTGGCCTCGAACTCACAGTGATCCGCCTGCCTCTGCCTCCCGAGTGCTGGGATTAAAGGCGTGTGCCACCAACACCCGGCAAAGTGAGAATTTCTAAACGAGTTCATTTTCCAGTGCCATCGTGAATATTGTGTGTGTCTGTGTGTGTGTCTGTGTGTGTACATGTCTGTATGTGCCTATGTGCATGTCTGTGTGTGTCTTTGTGTATGCATGTGTGTGTATGTATGTGCATGTCTGTGTGTATGTGTGTGCATGTGTGTGCATGTCTGCAAACATGCATGTAGCACCCAGAGGAGGACGTCCTGCTCTGTCACTTTATTTCCTTGAGACAAGATCTTTTCACTGACCCCAGAGCGTGTTGCTTTTCTGGCCAGCAAACCTTCCCAATTAGCCTGTGTGTGTGACCGCCCCCAAGCCTGGCACTGAGGTCACAAGCACAGGTGGCTGTGCCTGACTTTATACCTGAGTGCCGGGGTTCCGAACTCAGGGCCTCACGTTTGTGTAACAATCTTGTTTTCGGCACCATGTCTAGCTCCTCATCATGAATGCTAAAGCAGGGGGTAGATGCAGACACTCAGCGAGGCCTGGTATGTCGTGGGTTTTCCATAACTGCACATTGTAGTATACGCTCTGAGAAATCACCATCAACACACACATGCATGTGTATTGTGTATGTACATATCTGTATTGCGTATGCATGTGATGTGTACATGATGGGGGTGTGTGCATGTCATGCAGCCTGTGCCCTCAGCCTGTGGAGGTCAGAGGTAAACTGTGTGGTTAGTTCTCTCCTTTCGCCTTTTGTGACTCCCAGGAATGGAACGTCGGCCATCAGGCTTGCGTGGTGAGTGCCTTTACCCACTGAGCCATCTTGCAACCTAGTAGGAGGTTTTTTTTTTCTTTTTAAAAAATTTAAATTAGAAACAAGCTTGCTTCACATGTCAATCCCAGCTCCCTCTCCCTCTCCTGCTCCCCCACCTCCCCACCAGGCCCTCCATCCCCCCACCTAATCCCCACTCGTTCCCCAGAGAGGGTGAGGCCCTCTGTGGGGGATCTCCAGAGTCTGTCATTTCATCCAGGGCAGGGCCTAGGCCCTCCCCCGAGAGTCCAGGCTGGGAGAGAATCCCTCATTGTGGGATGGACACCCAAAGTCCATTTGTATCCCAGGACAAATACTGATCTACTACCCAAGGCCCCATAGGTTGCCCAGGCCTCCTCACTGACTCTCACACTCAGGGGGTCTGGATCAGTCCATGCTGTCCACCCAGCTGTCAGTCTGGGGTCCAAGAGCTCCCCCTTGTTCAGGTCAGCTGTCTCTGTGGGTTAAACCATCCCAGTCTTGACTCCTTTGCTCATCAGTTCTCCCTTTCTGTCACCTGATTCCAGGAGTTCAGTTCAGGGTTTAGCCGTGGGTGTCTGCCTCTGCTTCCATCAATCACTGGATGAAGGTTCTGTTTCCCAGACTCTCTGGCAGTGGGATTGTAGGCTGGCACCCAGTAGGAGGTTTTTATGAGCAGAATGAAGAAAGGATGTGTTAGAAGGAAAATTCTGGAATATTCTACATTTATTTACACTGGCTTAGAAGACTAAAGGGACAGAGGGGTGGGAAGTTAATGAGACAAACCCCAAAGAGACTGTCCCACATCCCTGAATGTGCTGTGACCTTGGCTTACACCCTATCACAGCTGACCTCAGGAGCTGCAATTTCTGCTCCTCCTGCACTGTCTGCCCCTCACCCAAAGGTTCCCCTCTCTCTTATGTACCTATAGGCATCACGGTTCATTGTCAACAATACGTTCCCTGCCTCCAATATCTATATAAAAATACCCTTAGCTCTGGGCTTCCCCTTGCTGCTATAAGTAGTGGGGACTTGTCCTGGGGTCATTTTTTTTTCTGGATAGCATCTAAAATGGCTCAATAAATCCTTCTATTTCAGATATCTTTTTGAAAAGTTTTGGTTTACATGCTATTCCCAGCACAAACACTAAAGTCAGATCTAGGTTGGTGGGTTAAGACTGGGCTTGATTGTGAGTGACACCAAATTCCAAATAATAGGGTTCCAGAGAAGGTATTAATTTCTTTTTCTCATTTGGAAGTGCACTGGGAAAGACATCTACTAGGTTCTGTGTGTGTGTGTATATGTGCATGTACAGGCATGTGTGTGTATATGTGCATGTACAGGTATGTGTGTGTGCATGTACAGGTGTGTGTGCGTGTGCATGTACATGCATGTGTGTGTGCATGAGTGTGTGCATGTACAGGTGTGTGTGTATGTATGTGTGTATGTGCCTGTACATGCATTTGTGTGTGTGTGCATGTGTGTGTGTGTGTGTGTGTGTGTGTGTGTGTGTGTGTGTGTGTACCTGAGCACAGAGGCTATTAGGGGATGCCAAAGGTCTGCTCTATGAGTCCCCACCTGTTTCTCTGCAGCTGAGTCTCTCACTGAACACAGTGACGCTCCTGTTTCCACCTCCACCGTGCAGGGAACACCTATAACCACATTTGGCTCTCTTGGTGGGCGCTGGGCATTTGAACTCAGTTCCAATGCTTGTGGAGCAACAGCTCTTACCCACTGGGCCATCTTCCTAGCCCCTAAAGAATTGCTTTAAAATAAATTTTTATGATTGTTATCACTATTATTATTTTTTTTTTTTTTGGTTTTTTTTCCAGACAGGGTTTCTCTGTGGCTTTGGAGGCTGTCCTGGAACTAGCTCTTGTAGACCATGCTGGTCTCAAACTCACAACAATCCACCTGCCTCTGCCTCCCCAGTGCTGGGATTAAAGGCGTGCGCCACCACCGCCTGGAAATTGTTATCATTAAATGTTTGGTTTGTATAGCTATTTTATTTTTTGTGTTTTAATTTTTAAAACATGTTTTTAATTGTAAGAGCATTACATTACTTTCCTCTCTAGAAACCCTCCCATACTCCCCACTCTCAAGTTGATAGCCTCTTTTTCCTTTATTACTGTTGTTGCATACATATGTATGTGTATGCATGTATGTGTATGCACAAGTATGTATAAATATAACCTGCTGAGTCTGCTTATGTTGGTGGTGTATATGGTTTCAAGGCTGACAACACATAAGGAGGCTCACTCTTGGGAGAGGCTAATTCTCCATCTCCCAGCAGTCATTATTTGCTTGTAGTTCCTTGTGTAGGATGGGACCCTGCAAAAAATTCACCTTGACGTTCCCAGTGATATGGCCATTGTCTTTGATCTTCTATATCCAGTCATTTCTAGGAGAGACTGTTCACAGCAGACTTCCTGGCCCTCTGGCTCTTACAGTCTCTCTGCCCTCTCTTCTGTGATGTTCCCTGGGAGAGACACAGCAAGAGCTGTGATGTGGATGCATCTTCTGGGGCTGGCTTCCTACAATCTGTTGTCCTCTGTATTGTGACCAGTTGCGGTCTTATGTGATGGTCTTCATGTGCTGTAAGAGAGGTGGTAGTTACACTCATCTGTGGGTGTAAGGATAAGATTTCCACTGTAGATCCAGGTGGTGGTAGCACACACTTTTAATCCCAGCACTTGGGAGGCAGAGGCATGTGGATCTCTGTGAGTTCGAGGCCAGCCTGGTCTACAGAGCGAGTTCCAGGACAGGCTCCAAAACAATACAGAGAAACCCTGTCTCAAAAAAAAAACAAAAAACAAAAAACATAAAACTAAATCTGCCAGCTATAGAACTTCCCGGCATAGGCCCCAAAGATGACATCCCATGCCACAGACGCTTGCTCAGTCATGTTCATTGCCTCCTTATTCACAACGGTCAGGAAATGGAAAAATAAAAAATAAGAAAAACGAGTCCTTCAACAGATAAATGGATAGCAAAAATGTGTCAATAATCGCAGTGCAGTGTTGTTCAGCTGTAAAAGAAAAGCAAAGCCGCGGACTTTTCAGGTAAATGGACGGTCGGTCATATTGAGTGAAATAACCCAGACCCAGAGAGTAGACGCTGCATGCTCTCTCTCATCTGCGGTGCCCAGCTCCAAATCCTCACATGTAAGTACACACATGGAGTAACCACGGGAGGGGGGAAGGGGAGGGATAGCAGGGGCAGGGTACCCGTGATGCCAAGTGGGAAATGGGGAAGTGGGGAGGGGCTCAGCGGGTGATGAGGGAGGGTGAGGAGCGAATGATACCAAGGTTGTTTGATAAAGCCCCAAGGAATCATATTATTTTATATTCACCTAAAATTATATAATTATATATACATATATTTATATCCTAAAGAGACCTCTTGGGCTGGCAATGCTCCCCACCCATAGACTAACAAAACCCCAGTACGGACATAAAAAGTATTTCAAATGGCTGCTCAGGGCAGCCCTGGTGACTCTCCAAGCAATATAGGTTATCCATGTAGCCTTTGTTTGCCTCTCGGGGGTTGAGAATCGGCCTCTGTTGCTAAAGACACCACACACTTAGGTCACAGGTCTCGGGAGATTTGAGCTGGATCTGATCTGAACGTCTCCTTCCTGCAGCCGAGCTAGCTTCCATGGTTACGGAAAATCCTAAGCAAGCTGCCAAGGGAGGTAAGCAATTAAAGAGTCACACCCAGCCGCAGTACCTGAGAACTGGTTACAGTGAGCCGCACAGCACCGGACGCTTAAAGGCGCAGTGACACTGGCAGGTCAGAGGCGGTCAGTGGAACACTCACTGCCTTGGGTGGAAAGGGGTCCCAGATTCAAGGCAGTGTGCTTCCCATCCGTGGGATGTTCACGCAAGGGCCAGCAGCCAGTTTATGAAGGGACCTGGTCCCCAAGTGATGCATAACTCCTGGCTTCTGGTTGCCTCCTGTGAAATGCTTCACCATGCTTTCCGAACGAGGAGAAGGGCTTGCATTTATTTTTTCTTCCCAGAAACGCTCACATCCAAAGCAACTCGCACACCCGAGGCTGCGCCGGGTTTTGTTAAAGCACAGCCTTCGAGGTCAGTCTGGTCTACAAAGCCACACAGAGAACCCTGTCTCGAAAATTAAAAAAAAAAAAAAAAAACAAAGAAACAAAAACAAAACACACACCCTTGGCTCACCCAAACTATCAAGACACAGAACACTGCCACCCCCCCAAAAAAAGTCCCGTTTCCCTTTCACCCTTTCCATCTGTCTCAGCCTCACCCACCTCCCACACACTCTCTTAATTGGTGACAGGGGCAGAGGCTTGCGCTCTCGGCCGCTGAATTAAATCCAGGACCTATTAGTTTGGGTTTTTTGTTCCTTTTTTTTAAAACCATGGGTAGGTTTGCGCAAAAAAGACACTGAAGTGCTTGCGGTGGGAATGTGGCCAAGGCGGTGGAGGGCAACCACGTGGCGGAGGGGGTTGGGGGGCCGCCTGAACGGCCGAATCGAATGGCTCACCGACAGATGGCGTGCGTGCCTAGGAGTCCTGCGGGCCCGGGGCCCTCGGGCGGAGTCCCCACCCTTCCAGAGCGCGGACTGTCTGTGCAGCCACTGCAGCGGCGCTGGTCTGACCGCGTGTCCTGGGCGGAGGCTCCAGGGTCCGCAGCGTCCACGTGGAACTGGGCGTCCTCCCCGGGGGTCCTCTCCGGGGTTCTCCCCTCCTCCACCCAGGACCCCTGCCCTCCGGAAAACCCAGAGCCTGCTCCCTAGGGGAAGTAAAGGGACGCAGCATCCCTGGGTCACTCCTAAATCAAATCCCCTCTGCAATGCAGGGTCCCGAGAGACATTCACACTCTCCCATCCGCAGGGCTGGGGCTTCTCTGAACTTGGCCGCCGGAGGGGGAGGGTTTGTTCCTCTCCCTACCCTGGCGGTTTCCCAGAACAGCCTGGGGTTTATCCAGCCGATGCCTCCGTTTGCCCCATAGAGCACAAGTTTGTTTTGTTTTGTTTTTACGAGACAGGGTTTCTCTGTATTGTTTTGGAGGCTGTCGGTCCAGCCCAGCCTCGAACTCACAGAGATCCGCCTGCCTCTGCCTCCCGAGTGCTGGGATTAAAGGCGTGCACCACCAACGCCCGGCTAAGGCACAAGTTTGGATGTAAGCCATAGGGTCTATCAGTGTACAGAAAGAATGCCAGGGCGAAAGGAAGTCCTGTCTCGGTGTGTCCTCTCTCACTATAACACGGAAGCAGTTTATCCAGGAAAAGGTGTGCTTGCTTGACTTACAGATTCAGGGAGACCCAGGCAGGAACTGAGGCAGAGAACCCGGAGGCCACGGAGGAACACTGCTCACTGGCGGGTTCAGCCTGCTTTGTTGTTGTTTTGTTTTGTCTTTCAGAGACAGGGTTTCTCAGCAGTTTTGGAGCCTGTCCTGGAACTCGCTTTGTAGAGCAGGCTGGCCTTGAACCTACAGAGAGCCACCTGCCTCTGCCTCCCGAGTGCTGGGACTAAAGTGTGCGCCACCACCGCCGGGCTTAGCCTGCTTTCTTGTAGAACCCAGGGCCACCTGCCTAGAGGTGGTGTCACCCACAGCGGGCTCTGCCCTCCACATCAATTATCAGTCAAGGAAATGCCTCGTAGTAGGCTCGCTTACAGGCCAGTCTGCCTGACAGAGGCATCTTCACAGCTGAGGTTCCCTAGTCCCAGATGACTCCAGCTTGTGTCAAGTTAGCAAAAGCAAAGCAAAACTCAGTAGCATAGGCCCCGAGGAGGCTAACATGGAGGAATCTTGAGAAAGCAGAGACTTCCCAGGACCGTGGGGCCTTGGCAGCTCTATGGAGAGGACAGCGACAAGATGATTTTCACTGTGGGGACAAAGGGGAGAGCCTGGTGGGGCGGGGGCGGGGGGCCGTGCTCCTGAGGCCTTGTGAGTGGAAACGGGAGGCAGAACAGGCTGTGTAACAAGCAGCCCCCAGTCACACTGGCCCAGACCTCAAGGGCATCACCACCCAGCTCTAGAGGAGGCCCTGCTCCATGTGAGCCTCAGGGCCATCAAACACCCCTGGTCTCCTGGGCGGAGCCAAAATGGAAGTGCTCAGGATCAATGAGAGGTTTTGAGACCCCTCTGAGAGGGCCACTAAGTGCTTTAGCCCTCCAGTCCTGCACACTTGCAGGGAGGACAAAGACATCCCTCCCTGGGCTAGGGGGATGAGGCCAGAAGTGGGTGGCCACATTGCTTCCATGGTCATTGCCTGGAACCAGAAAACATCTGCTTCTACTAATGGTTGTGCTTGGCAAACGCTGGAAGGTGGTCAGGGGTGGGAGGGGCAGATGGAGGAGTAGCAGCTCCCATCAGGAGGGGCTGAGGGGGTGATTAGCACAAACTTGGGAAAGCAGAAACAACATGGAACCATCTGGAAACCCCAAGATGACCAGTGTGGCTGGGCGGGAAAGTTTGGGAAGTGGGTTGGTCAGGAATGAGGTTTTAAACGAGGGCTGAGTGAGGGCTCATTGGGGAGGATTTTAAATGTGGAACGTTTGCGGAAGCCCCAGCAGCCCGAGGAATGGCTGGAGTCAGGGGCGGGTCCAGGGCTCTGGCATGCATCAGAGGGTCAGTTAAAATTAGTCCCAGTGGCCCAGAAGCCAAAGGCACAGTGAGTGTGTGAGTTGTGTGGCAGCCAGCTCCAGCCTCAGGGGAGTCTTGGGCATGGAGTGCTGTGTGGGAACTCATTTTGGGCTGTGGGTAGCATCCTGGGGCCCCAGCCTGGAGAGCTCCCCCTTCTCCTTGCAGTGCCTCCTTCAGGGGCACACTCTTCTCAAGAGGACCAGGTCACACTAACACAGGTCCCCTCCTTGCCTCTGAGGCACGTTACACTGGATGATGAGGCGAAAGTTTTAACCCGTGTATGGCATTGCCTTTGTACAGCCCTCCCCATCTTCGCCCAGCAGCAGAGGCTGGGAGAGAGTCTTCACCCCTCTCCCCATTTCCCCTCCTCTCCCCCCACCCCCTCTCGTGAATTCAGATCTTTTTTAATGCCAGAGGATGGGAGGAAACAGTCGGTGATGAGGTCTGGCAAATTCTGCAAACCCTGTAGTTCCCTAAGCATCTCCTGAGTCACGGGGCCACAGCTCTTTGTCATCACACACACCTAGGGACAGAGCAGGGGCTGGGGGCGGCTCTGTTTGCAGGGAGGTAAGCTAAGAGAGACAGCGTCTGGGACTGAAGTATGGCTTCCTTCTCTCCCTCCAGTCCTGCTTGCCCCTAAGAGCCTCCATCTTCCCCTGCTTCTATCAAGGACATGGCTGCTGGCTTCTTGGCTCTGACAAGCTTCAGGATGATCTCATCTCCAGATTCTAGTTGATTTTTTTTTATCCTCAGAAAACGTTCCCAAATACGGTGCCATTGCAGGCCACATGGTCAGCTCAGCCCTGGGGGAGGGGGATGTCATTGTTCATCACGGAAGGGAAAATGCAAGCTTGGAGCAGAAAGGATTTTCTGCAGACCTCACGGCTCACATCAGGGCAGCCAAGGGAAGCCCTGCCCTGGGGAGGGAGGCCAGGCCAGTCTCTGGATTGCTGTGGTTCCGGTTCTGGACTCTGGAAAGCACTCATGGAAAAACCATCTGGAGCTGAGGCTGCACTGGGGACTCCCCTCCCTCCATCACTGGCGGGTTTCCCTGTCTGGCGGTTGGTGGGGGAGGGAGCAGCTTCTCCCGCTCCATGGAGTCCTCTCCTCCACCCCTTTGTGGAGGTCATTGCCACCACAGGGCTGGGGGAGTCCCTGTCCTGTCTTCCCTGTCCTTTAGATCATGCTCTCCCTGGACAAAGTCCCTGCTGTGGTGAGAAGCCAGAAATACACTATGGGGGGCTCAGCTCTCAGAGGCCATGGAGCAAAGGGAATAGGATTTGGCCCAGGGGACCCAGCCGCCAGCCCACTCAGTGACAGGAAGAGCTGGCTGCTCATTCTTACTGACAGGGTGACAGACCACAGAAGGAGGCAGCCTAACTCACACCAGGCACAGGGCCAAGTGAGCCCACTCCCTGGGTTTGCTCTGTGGTGGCTCTCTCCTAGCTTTCCTTCCAGCTCATTTGGACGCCCAGCCCACACCTGCTTCCACTGCCTCGGTCCACCACCCCATCATGGTTTGGCTCTGAACTGCCCCCTAAGAGGCCATATGCTGATGGTTTGGTGGTGACCTTTTTTAAAATTTATTTTTTATTATTTTTAGTTATGTGTGTGCATCCCAGTGCAAGTGGCCAAAGAGCCCAGAGGAGTTGGATCCTCTGGAGCCGGGCTTACAGACAGTTTCGGATCACCTGACGCAGTTGCCTGGAATTGAGCTTGGGGCCTTCAGAAGATCTCAATAGCTGAACCGTATCTCCAGCCTGTAAGGTGATGGGCCTTTAAGAAGGGAGAGCTAGTGCCAGGAAGGGAGGTCATGGAGTCGGTGCAAGGAAAGGGATTGGAGCCCAGTTGTCTTCCCTTGTATTCCTATGTACCCTGCCCTGCCTGCCCCTCCCCCTACTTCCTTTCCTCCTCCCCGGCTGGGCTGTCCTGAGGGTGAGCAGTTCTGTCCCCGTCCCCCACCACCTCTTCCCCACGCACCACTGGCTAGGATTCCTCACCACAGACCCATGGGGCCTACTGACCACAAACTGCAATCTCTGAAACCATGAGCCCGGTCCCCTCTTGTCCCGGTCCAGCAGGGGCCTAACTTGGAGCAGAGACCTGTGAGGAATGAAAATAGAGGGGCGGGAGGCTCGAGAGAAAAGACCACAAGACAGGATTCGGATCAAATGGCAATGTTATTTTCTGCTGGGCTAGCTATGTAGTTGGTGAAGCAGGTTTGGAGGGGGTAGGGTTTGGGGGTAGTTGGCATGCAGCTTCGAGGAGGGCAGGATGTTAGATGACCACAGGAGGAGGATGTCTGGCAGGGTGCAAAAGGTGCAAGGAAGGTTGCCTTGGTAACTGTGCCTTGTAGCTAGCCTATAGGGTGTGTTTAGCCTCTGGGGTTGAGCATGAGAGGGGAGGTTTGTTTCTTTTCTTTCTTTCTTTCTTTCTTCCTTTCTTTCTTCCTTCCTTCCTTCCTTTCTTTCTTTCCTTTTTTTTTTTTTCCGAGACAGGGTTTCTCTGTATTGTTTTGGAGGCAGTCCTGGAACTCGCTCTGTAGACCAGGTTGGCCTCGAACTCACAGAGATCCTCCTGCCTCTGCCTCCCGAGTGCTGGGATTAAAGGCATGTACCACCAATGCCCACCTGGTTTGCTTCTTGTTAAGGGCAACTATAAGGCTTCTAGGAACTGGCTGTATAACTGTTTAATTAGCTTGGTCCTGTGGCCAGAAGCTCTGTAAGTCCTAAGCGGCAGTCTGAGACTGGCTCCCAACACCTTCCTCCTTTTTTCTTTCCTTTAGAAAGATCAGATTGGGCTGGGGGAGTAGAGGTCTGACCTCATATTTTTTTTTTGTGGGAGACTTTCACGACTGGACATCATCCTCGGCTTGGGGACGAGATATCCACTGATGGCAACCCAAGACACCTTTTGTGGGAAGGGGAATTTTGGGTGTCGAACCCCTATTCATGCAGACATACTCTCGAGGCTCTCAGGAGTTGGGGGAGTCCTCTGTAGTTAGGTGTGTACCCCAATGCCCAAGAACAATTTATGTACAGGTGCGTGGTAAGTGTTCCAGAGGGGAGGAACCTTCTTGAATAGCCTGGAAGTTTTCCAGGCTAATGTCATCAGTCTCTAGACGGTGATATTGGACCAGAACCGGTCGAGTGGCCGAGTCGACCTGTTGTTTAATTAAGGCCACAAGCTTGGAGAAAGCCTAAGGCCCAAAAGAGACAAGCAGTAATAACCTTCGAAATGGTCCTAGTATGGAGGGCAGAAGGGTGGTGAGCCATGGGGAGGTAGAGAACCAATTTTGATACCATGACTCTTGTTTAGTCCTTTCCTCTTGGCGTTTTTTAAAACCCATTCTGACTTTAGTCATGTCATCTTTAATAACTCCTGACCTATTAACGTAAAAGCAACATTCCCCTCTTAAGGCAGCACAGAGGCCGCCTTGTTGTAAAAATAACAAGTCTAAGCCACATCTGTTTTGTAGGGCCACCTCTGCTAGAGAGTTAAGGGATTCTTCTGGGAATTGGAATTGAACCTGGAGTTGTTTGACATTATATATAATAGTCTGTGTATTGGTTTTTACCTAGCACCAAGGAAGAAATCCCTGTTCCCGCTCCAACAGCACCCAGGCCTAGAAGACTGCGGTGCTGGGTTCTCTGTGGCATCTGTTAGGGGAGGCAGGGCTTCCCGATTCCCAAAAGTGGAAGAATTCTATGAAGGAGAAGTATGAGAGGCATGAGACCATCTGCACG